TTGACATATTTTTTCTGTGTAGAATTTAGGTTCCCCACAGATGCTAGGATAGGTGAGGCTAGAAGGCTAATATAATATAGCCAACTGCACTTGAGAGTGGAGCAAATCACAAGAGGGCTTCAGGGTGAACTTGCATTTTTCTGGAGGGGCGTGCAGCCGAAATGGCGCCAAAAAAGAAAAACTTCTGGGTCAAGTACCCTCAGGCTGTACGCTTGACTTCTCTTTTCTCACAGAAACAGATCAAGAACTGCCTCCTTCTTTGATAGAGGGGACACACACACACACACTTACTTTTTCCCAGACTGTAGTTTTTGGGCCACACAAAGCCAATGTTTCATGTGGTCTCAGCCACCCTGGGCTTTGCCATGCCTTCCTGTTGTGGACCAGGAAGTTTCTTTTTTATTTTAGAAGGGTTGGGGTCTGCATCTCGGCCTGCATTTCATGTGAAGATGAGAAGAGTTAATGTGGCCAAGGAGGGCAGGAGGGGGTGTCTGCCCCCCACCAAGTCACCTCCTCCGCTACCTGGTGTTGGGAAGCGTATTGCGTAGTGAGGTTCTATACGGTTTAGTCATTGTAACTAATGGTTACTGAAATAGTGGTCCTTCATAAATTTGTTTAATCCCCCTTTAAAACCATCATCACATCTTGTGGCAGAGACTTCTATAAAACGTGTATTATGTAGAAAAAGTACCTTTTTTGATCATTGGTATCTCTAACCTAACCTAGTGCTGTTTTCTATGCCTGGCAGTGTTCCTGCCCTCCTCCCTCAGATCCTGTAATTCAGAGGTGCCAGGAGGGGGTCCTGTTGCTCTTCAGGTGTTGCTGGACTTTCATCATCCCTGGCCACTGGCACTGCTTGCTGGGACTGATGGGAGTTGTAGTCAACAACATACAATCTTATTTTATCTGTAAGCTGCCTTGAATCCCTGTCAGTGAAAAAGGCAGGGCATAAATAATAATAATAATAATAATAATAATAATAATAATAATAATAATAATAATTGTGGGGTGGTGAACTGGAGATTGAATGTGAGAATTCATACATGCAAAGCAATATTGATCTACCACTGAATGGGGGCCCCCAATTTTTTTCTAAGGGTGTGGGCCCTTTTGCCTCCCATATCATGAGGACTGAGAAATCAGCCCAGAAGCCCTTGGCACTTATAGCAAGAATCATGCATGTAAGGCAATTCCATGGAGCATGGCCAAGGCCAGGCAAATTCCTCCCACCCCATTACAATTTCTGTGTTCTAGCTTTAGAGGGTAGGTGCCAAACGCACTGTGCTGGCAGTGACCTGAGGGATCATGTACGCTATAAAGGAGCTCTAATGAATTCTATTCCCTCCTCCAGATCACCTTGCAGAACCCCCTCGTGAGCCCGAAGAGAGTGATGAATTTGAGTGATGAACTTGAGTGACATGGAAGGATTAAAGTTCTCACAGCGCTGACGGCACTTTGCGTTTTACAGGGTCCCACCATCCCTTGGGGGGGGTCACATTCCTTAGCTGGTACCACCAACCCTGTGGCACCCAGGGGTCCTGGTGGAATCCGGCATCAAGTTAACAACACAGCTCAAGCGGGGGGTGGCAGGGGCAATGGAGTCTATTTGAATAGGAGATTAAAGTTTCTACCCCAAAAGGGCAGTAGGAGGAGGGGATTTGTGTAGATTTTTACCCCTATGACCCTCCCTGCAAACATCTCCGCACTACGTACTCCTTTTTCTTGAAGACAGTAAATAAAACATTTTATATATTTGTAACCTGTCTGTATCCTTTTGGCTTACAAATTGTACTTGGTACTGACAGAGGTCTGTTTTTTGTTTTGCTAGATTCATGTGGTATTAGGCTGAACAGCCAGCCTCTTAGGATATGGCAGTTTGTGACAAGGGAGAAGGAGAAAAGCCATTTTTTCCCCATGTTCTCAGTGTGCTGTGAATTCTGCCTGCCTTCCTCTTCCTACTTTTCCAGGATGAGAAGATGAGACAGTCACAAAGGAAGAAGATGGAAGCCAAAATCCCAAATAGGGTGGTGCAGACAGTTGCTTATTCTCTCTTTCTGACCCCTTTAAAGTGTGTCAAAGCAAGGGTAAAGAGGTGTCTGTAGGTGCTGCAAGTGGCCAGAGTCATGATTAAGAGTTGCTTGTATTTCCCCTGGTCTCTCTCCATGCAGAGCTGGCAGTGGAGCAGTCAGTTGTAGCACCAGCAAGCTGCCCAACTGAATCCGCATGGTGGGCTGGCATGCTGAAACATTTTGCTGCCTGAATCAGAAAAGCCAAAGGGCAGCTGCTTCATTCTAGAGTGGCACAGGACACACTGGAGACCTTTGCCTCTCTCACTCACTAGACAAATGTCTAATGATCTTATTTATCCTATTTGATTTTTCTGTATAGTCTGGTTTATGAAGCATCAGTTGCGGGCCATGGTGGGAATTCATGGAGTGGCTCCAGTGCCATTCTGAGAGCCCAGATACTGGTGAACTGCTTTATATGTGAGTTCCTGAATAGTTTGAATCTAATCACTTCACATAAAACCTAACTTGCAGTCATACGCTATCTGCTGCTTGGACATTGTGGGGGATGATGCAAGTGACATGATTAGAGGATGAATCCAGACAAGTTTGAAGTAATTTATTTTGACTTGGGAGAGGACAAGGAGGACAGGAAAACCAGGATCTTGCTGGTGTCTCACAGCAATAAAAAGTCTATGTTCCCTGGCTGTTCAGCCATGCCTTACAAATCAGGTTGTCAAAAATGCGTTTGTGGCTGGTCTTAAAAGTTACTGTGGAACAACAGGGAAAAGGTGGTCTCTGGTAGACAGAGCCCTAAACGTGCTGTGAATAGGATCATGGGAAATGTCAATTCTGCATAAGAGCATAAGAAGAGCCTGCTGGGTCAGGCCAAGGAGCCACCTAGTCCAGCCTCCTCTCCTCCCAGTGGCCAACCAGGTGCCTGTGGGAAACCAGCAGGCAGAACCTGAGCACAAGAGCATCTCTCCTCTTCTGTGGTTTCCAGCAGCTGGTATCAGGAAGCCTTGCTGCCTCCATCCTGGCTAGTAGTCACGGAGAGCCCTCTCCTCCATGAATTTGTCTAATCCTCTTTTAAAGCCATCCAAGTCAATGGTCATCGCTGCCTCCTGGGGGAGCAAGTTCCATAGTCCTACGCACTGTATGAAGTACTTTTTAAAAATCTGTCTTGAGTCTTCCAGCATTCAACTTCACTGCGTGTTCCTAATGAGCTCCAGTGTTATGAAGAGGAGAAAAACCTCTCTCTATCCCCTTTCTCCCTCCATGCATAATTGTATAAACTTTGATCATGTCGCCTCTTACTCACCTTTTCTCTAAAAAGTTCCAAATGCTGCAGTCTTTCTTCATTCCATTGATCATTTGGGTGGGTTTGTTTTTTGTTTTTAAACTCTTCCAAATACTTCTGCATGTGGCAGTAATGAAAAGGGCAAATGCTAAGGTTGGAATTATTGGAAACAGGATTGGAAATAAAATAATAAAGGGTAGCCATAAAAGAATATACAATAATAATGTAGGCCCAGAGTTGCAGAGGTGTGAATGGCAATTGCTTTATCTCAACCCAGGGGATCCTTAGAGGTGAGAAGATGACCAGCAACCAATAAACTCCGTCATCCAGAGGTACCCATAGTTGTCTAGCGCAGGGGTTAGCAAATGTTTTCAGCAGGAGACTGTCCCTCAGACCTTGTGGGGGGCTGGACTATATTTTTTTGGGGGGGAGGGAAGGAACGAATTCCACAAATAAGGCAGAGATGCATTTTAAATAAAAGCACACATTCTACTCATGTAAAAACACGCTGATTCCTGGACCATCCGCGGGCCGGATTTAGAAGGTGATTGGGCTGGATCCAGCCCCCGGGCCTTAGGTTGCCTACTAAGGCAACCATTATAGCACTGACTTGGTACTATTTCCAAAGCTCAAAAGTACTGCTTTGGACTTACAGGGCCTGGACCCACCTTTCTATGGAAATTGGGAGTACAAAGATGAAGATTGTTGGGGGAGATAGCAGATCCTAGCAGCACTTGGTAAGAAAGAAAAAGAAAAGCCTCTCACTAAATAAACTCCAGAGCAGGAATACTGACCTCTTTCCCATCTATTTCCCAAACTTATTTATGATGCCTTTATTGGTGTCAGGCTTTCTATCCTCTACAGCACTGGAAAAGGAAAAATGTGTCCTCATAAAACAGTGGTCTAAAGGGGAGGGTGCATTTTCTGGGAGATTATCCCTTGAAAGCCATAAGCCAACTAAAGGCGTCTGGGCACACACACACACACACACACAGATTGCCACCAGTATTGTTTATGGAGAATCTCAAGTGAGAGAAAAATAATGTGGAGCAGTGATCTTTTAATCCCCCCTCCCTCGTTCACCTGTGTGAAAGCAGGCTGAGGGTGGCACAAACTTAGGCCAGAGGTTAAATTCTGGTGCCTGGCAGCGCTTTGAGACCATCACCTCCCTGATACTCCATCACAGCTTTTCAAATCAACAGCACACCTTCCTGATGGTACTATGTGTGTATGTACGTACACACACACATTATCTCTGTGTGTGTATATGTAGAGAGAGAGGTGTGATTTGGGTGTTTTAATAAGTGCCTCATTGCCTGCCCTGACACTCTGTGGAGGTTGGTCCATAGGGGCAAATATGGCTCTGGCCTAGCAACTTCAGCCTTCGATTCCTCCAAGCCCACCTGCCTTTACTTGCAATCAGTCTAGAGGGTGTTTCTGGCTGCCACCTTCCTCTGGTCTCAGTGCTGCCCTTGTAGAACTAGCAGGCTGGCATTAGAATCAATGAGCTCTGTTTCTACCTACTGCTTACCTATCTCCCTGTCTTCTGCCCTGCCAGTCCCAGTGGACACCAGCCTCCGCAGCTGAGACCTTTCTACTTGGGCAGGAAATAAACAGAACAAGCAACACTGTAGAAAAAGGTCCTTACCAACACCCCTGCCGGCCCTCTTGCACATGAAGAGAGGCTGGAGAAGTTTCTGTATGCAGCTTTTTATTTCAGATCCAGCAATTAAAAACCCCTCTGCCATTGCAGCCATAGCTAATGTTATGTACTTTGACTGTTAAGTTTATTTAAAAAATTGGCATGTGACGATTGTGGACTAATTCACTGAGACCAGAGCTGGCGCCTGCTCAGCTGGGTCAAAAAGAGGAAGGCAAAATGGAACTGCAGCACATCGCAGATCTTCGACCAAAAGTGGCCAGTAAGCCGGCGGAAAGGTGCCCATTGTGCCAGCTCCTGGTCCCACAGCTTGAGGCTTACAAAGCCCAGGCAAGAGACCAATCCTAGCACCAGGATCCAAGCCGACCGGGCATTGCCCAAATGCCTCTGCGCCTTCAGTGCTCTCCAAACAATTATAAATATATGTCCACTCAATGCCAGCTCAAAGCCTTGGGGGTGAAGCAATGCCAGAACATAGCTCGTCAGTGAAGCTGCTTCCATGGCCAGGAAAGTGCCTGGTTGCCACCCGTGCTCCAGAAAGTGACACCAGACCACACCCCAAGCAAAAATTGGCAATGTCAACCACTGATCTAAGACAGCTGCCCAGTGATGCTGTGTCCAGAGTCGCACCCATTGTACAGGCCCATATGCAAGCGCCATAAGGGCAAAGACCTCCTGGAGGTAGCATGCCTGACCTCTCTGGTCACCTGAAGGCAGCCAGTGCCAGCCCAGAAAGATGTAGGCCAAGTTGACTAAACAATTGGCAGGCATAGCCAGTACGGGAGGCAATCCTGACACAGTTGGTTCAGCATAGTACTCGTACCCAACTTCCGTGTGAACACCGTCAAAGACTCCTGAAGCCACAAGTCCCACACACAGCAGGAGACCTCCAGACACCAGCAAGAGTGGTTCTCTGCCTCCTGGTTTCCTCACAGTCCTTTCCGAAGTTCTGGAGGGTTCTTCCTGAATGACGGCCGAACTGCTCCTGCAGCAACTGTTCTGCTGTAACATGTTGCTTGCTTTGGCAAAAGCCTCCCAAATGCAATTCACAGGTGGTGAGAGGCAGGCGTCCGAGCCTGGTGTTTTCCTATCCCAGTGTGGACTTTGATTCTCCTTCCCCTACTAACAGCACAAAAAAGGTGGAGTGAATGGGCATTCATGACCAAGAGGGACAGCTGTGCTCTTATCTGGCAAGTTTAATGTATTATTGGCCTTTTCTCCTCTTCACTCCACCCCTCCCCTTTCCCCCCAGAGCAGAGATTGGTGCCTGTGTACAACTACTTACATGCATAGGCCCTGTCTGTTTCCTTGGCAGCCGCTCCAGTCACGCTGCTTCCAGTGAATGTGGTTATGAAACAGCTGCAGCGGCAGGATTGGCTGCTGGTGACATCACGGCACAGCGGGGGTGAGGTTGCTTCCTTCCCAAGGTCTTGTGTTTTGTAACCATGGGGACAGCAGCTGCCAGCCTCTTGGTGGTCCCTTGGGTTAGGCCTGCAATACATCCTGTAGCTGGATCTTTACTGCAGAGGCATTGCTCCCAGCGCCTTTAAAAGAACCTCTACAGCACCCGTGTCAGTTCTTCAAAAACGACATAATGCAAAACAACCCACCACACAAGAAGTACCGAGTCTAAATATCATTCAGGAAGTGTTTGGTTAACAAGTTTCTTTGGATATGAGGGCAGTATTAATGAGGAATGTTATTTATTATATTTATAGCTTACCTTTCCGCTAAGAAGCTAAAGGCAGTTTGCATTTTATCTTTGCAACAGCCCCATGAAGCAGGTTAGGTACAGGAAGAAGGTGGCTGGCCTAGAGCCGCCCAGGCAGCTTCAGGGCTGAGAGCAGCAATTTGAACCAGGGCAAGTGGCTCCCTAACATTTTCTCCCCTGGACCTCTGAAAAACTGCTGAGGGTCTTAATGATTTTTCTGTAGCAACTGTAATGCGCTTTGCTAGATGCTGCATGGTTTTTAATTCTGTTTTCGTTGCTTCTTTTACTTCTTATGTACAGTGTTCTATTTATTCTATACCACAGAAGTCAAATTGTAGTGTAATAAAATAAGCAATAAAAGCAATAAAAATGCAATTTAAACTCATTATGAATATTTAACACAATGGATGTGTGGTCTTCCATTTTCAGTCACAAATAGAGACATGCAGTGGACCACCTGAATGAAGCTTGCGGGTAACCGTTTGGAAACCGCTGAACTAGAGTCTTTCTAGCCCCACTGTGTGACACACTGGCTCTCTTAGTCTAGGACATGTCCCTTTAAATGTGCAGTTTAAAGGGTCCTTTAAATGAGAGAAGGAATGAATTTTTAAGTCTTTCAAACAAATATATTCATATTTTAATTCATCATTAACAAAAAGGGAAGGGAAAACAAGAAGCATCAGACTCTGGCTGAAATCCTGTACCCAGTTTCCTGGAAGTAAGCCCTATGCAACTAAATGGGACATAGTTACATCTATAAGATGATGATCTTATAATTATTATAACATATTCTTCAACATCTGTCATGACTCTTTTAACCGATGAACATGTCCAAAATATCACCAAAATCTGTTTCTCAGCAGTCCTAGTTTTAAGATAGCCAGCCTTTCCCCCCATTAAATCTACATCCCAACCAGCTCTGGATTATTGGAATGCAGTGGTACCTCGAGTTAAGAACTTAATTTGTTCTGGAGGTCCGTTCTTAACCTGATGTACCACTTTAGCTAATGGGGCCTCCTGCTGCTGCCGCGCGATTTCTGTTCTCATCCTGAAGCAAAGTTCTTAACCCGAGGTACTATTTCTGGGTTAGCGAAGTCTGTAACCTGAAGCATCTGCAACCTGAGGTACCACTGTAGTCACAACTTTCCCCATGCTTTTGTTAGACAGATCTTTGTTGCTAATTAGAAAAGCATGTTGTTCACAAGCTATATATTATGAAAGGCGTCCTTTGGCTGCAGAAGTCAAGCCCATGCACCACAAAACCATTGTCAATGCGCTTTCGGGGGAGGGGGCACCTTGAGTGAAAGGGATGCAACAGAACTGGAAAGTATTGCACTGTGTGTGGGGCACACGACAAAAGTGTGTTCACACCATGACAAATATGAATAAAATACTACATGTGTATAAATCCCCAAGGATGGTAACATACAGAGATTTGTGACTTTCTGATTAATGTTCATTATTCAGCCCCAAACATCTTGAATGTTTACTTTAAAAATGAAAGACTGTTGGGGGACTTTAGTGTTGTGCTATTATAATTGTTTTGTCAGTGCAAGCATTTCTGTTTGTCAGATGGAATAATCCCCCTCTCCTCCCCGGCTCACTCTTCAGGGGGTTCTCTTGACCCTCCAGAGCAGATCTGTGGGAGGCCGGGAAAGTCTACTTGCATTAGCCAATGTTATTGCGCTGGCTTCCACTAGTGAACCGGGTATAAGCCCCAGGTTTTTTCAACTTTGTTGAAAATGATTTCACTTTCCCTATAAAATAGAATGGGGACTCTGTAGCCCCCCAGATCCTCTTGGACCCCAACTTCCATCACCCCAGATAGCATGGCCAGCACTCAAAGAAGATGGGAGTTGTAGTCCAGCAATGCCTGGAAAGTTGCAGGCTCCCCATCCCTGCTATAAAAAATAATTCAAGGGGCTGGCCCATGACATTTAAGAAAATTCCAATTAACACTTGCTCCCCTCCCAGCAAGTGGAAGGATCAACCTAGATAGTGTCTTCTGCAATCCCCACTGAAATGAGTAGCATAGAGCAGTGCACAACCTCTTGAAGGAGGCTGTTCCACTGTTGAACAGCTCTTACTATCAGAAAGTTCTTCCTGATATTTAGTTGGAATCTCCTTTCTTGTAACTTGAATCCATTGGTTCATGTTGCACCCTCCAGAGCAGGTAAAAACAAGCTTGCCCCATCTTCCATGTGACAGCTCTTGAGATATTTGAAGATGGCTACCATATCTCCTATTTGCCAGGTTAAACCTACCCAGCTCTTTCAACCATTCCTCAACAGGCTTAGTTTCCAGACCCTTGATCATCTTGGTCGCCCTCCTCTGCACACATTCCAACTTGTCAATATCCTTCTTAAATTGTGGCATCCAGGTGTGGTCTGACCAAGGCAGAATAGAGGAGGACTATTACTTCCCTTGATCGGGACACTAGACTTTTTTGCTGTTGCATCACACTGTTGACTCATGTTCAGCTTGTGGTCCACTAAGACCCCTAGATCCCTTTCACATGTACTACTGACAAGCCAGGTGTCCCCCATCTTGCATTGGTGCAGCAGCTTCTTCCTACCTAAGTGTAGAACCTTGCATTTGTCCCTCTTGAAATTTATTTAGTTAGTGGACTTCTGGGGAGGAACCAGATTTAAATGTTATCCTGTTGAAACTCCATCGACAGAGATAGTTATGTAGTGATTGATGACAGCCAAGCCATAAATCTAGGTTAATTCTCCGACGAATAGACACAACAGGGATTAACTTCCAATGCTCTGAAAAGGCTGCTTTCTCACTGAGGGACAAAGAAACTTTCAAGAGACTCAGATGGGGTGAGTGACTGAGAACAGAAGAACCGTAATCTTGCCCAAACACCGCATAATAGCCCTAAGGGTCAATCCTTAGGGCAAAGATTGACTAAACCTCTCTTTCTTCAATTAATTTTGAATCTGCTATAAATTATCACTGAGACTATCTCTCTGCCAGTTAAAATGTACATCTGAAATATGACCCAACTGCTGTCTTAAGATGAGATGGCACTAAGGGGATGAAAACAAAACAAAATTATGGTTTAATCATACATATCTAAGAAAGATTCTAAACAGCTAAGTGGCGATCCAAGTTTCAGGAATTTTCATTTAATTTTGTTCTATTTTTAATCCTCCATTTCACTGGTGAATGTGCTATTATAACATGAAACTACATGTTATAATCATGTGTTGCTGTGAGAGAGGAATGCTAGAAATGTATTTCTGATAAGCAAGGACTGTGTGGATCTTAGAGAAAGCACTCAGTATGATGAAATACTGGGGGAAAAACTCCACTGACTGTTGGTTTCATGCAGCAACTACTGAATGAGCAATTGAAAGAGCTCAGAGCGGAGATGCATAAAATGGTGAATAAAAATGGAATGGACAAAGCTGAGGCTGAAGAAGCTACAGAGTGTTTTGGGGGAAAATACTGATGGAGGATTGCAAGAACAGGAGAATGGAATGGCTAAGATGGAGGTAGTAGATGATGAAATGGAGAGGACCTCCACACAGGTGCCTGGAGGAGTGAAACAGCCAAACGATGAAGTTATGATGTTGGAGGAGTAGAATGAAGCCATGGACAGAGAGATTAAGAAATACCCAGAGCTGGCAGAGACATTGATGAGAAAGAAAAGACTGTGCATATAATTTGGAGTGAAATTAAGAGGGGAAAAGCTCCTAAGCCTCTGGGAACACTTTTGGAAAAAGAATGGAAGAAGAGGAAATGGAAGCCATTAAAAAAGAAGAAGATGGAAAACCTAAGCCAACAGGAAATGGGATTGGAAGATATGGATCTGGGTGTGAATTGGGGAATATACATTAAGTAAATAACTATGGATTACTGTCTCAATATATGAATGCAGAGAAGAGACTTCTGGGGGAATAAAAATAAAGGATTTATTGTTTCTCCATATTGGATGTAAAGTCATTATGTTGGATTGGGGAAACAATATTGTTGACTTTTACCAATAATAGTAATTGGAAAACCTCTTTTAGACTTTTTGTGTGGAAGGGAAAATGAATGAGCTTGAGATACCTGGACTTGAAAACTGGAAAAACATTGCCTAGCAGAAGGAGAAACAGCGGAACAGTTTTGTTTTTTTATGTTCTATGATCTGGGTTAATGAGGGGACTGCACACAGGTGGAGGTGATGGGCAGTTGGTGAAGGACCCTGTGTGAGAGGCAGGGAAAGGAAGATTTCCCAAGATGGGAGGCTGGGAGAAGAAACAGAAGCTCCCAGGTAACAGCTGGGAGGGTTCACCTCTTTCTGTGTGGGACAAGAGCTAAGATCTACCTGTGAGAGAGGATTTTCTATTAAAAAAAAGAAATGAGATTCATCTGGCATGACTTGCTGTAGGACGCAGTGCCATGAGTAGAATTTCCCCAGATGAGCAAAGTGATCTTGCAGTCTTCCAGGCAACCGGTCCCAAGTTGTACAGGGTTTTGTTAACAAGACCCCGAATATAGCCTGGTAGCTGATCAGCAACCAGTGCAGTTCCCTCAGCGCACATGTATGTGTGTGCAGGTATTCCACTCAGCCTCGCTGCAGAATTGTGCACCAATAGCACAGAAAGACCGAAATAGAGTGCATTAAAGTAGTCCAGTTGTGAGGGCTATTACATGAATCACCGTGACTAAGCTATCCCTGTTGAAGAAACGGTACAACTGGCATACCAGCCTAAGGTGATAATAGGCATTCCATGTCACAGAGGTCACCTGAGCATGGCAGGAGATCAAATTAGTAACACCATCGTATTATGGGCCTGTTCCTCCAGAGGGCATGCAGCCCCATCCAGAACAGGTGAACTCCTTGGGCATGGGAACCACTTACCCCCAGTGTCTCCATCTCACCAGGATTCAGCCTCAGTTTGTTGGCCCTCACAATGTCTCACTGCATGCAGGCACTGGTTTAGAACAGTCACAGCCTCTCCCGATTCAGATGTTATGGAGAAACAGAGGTGGGTGTCATCAGCATACAGATGACACTGCACCCCAAATCTCCTAATGACTGCTTCCAACAGCTTCAAATCAATATTAAACAGAACAGGGCTTTGCCTTTGTGCATCAAGCATGTTCAGATGGGGGACAAGAGATAATCTCTCACTGCTACTGGGGTGCTTCTCCCTGTATCTGTTCTCATGCCCAATTGCCACCTGCTACCCAGGAAACTGCCACAGCTGCAGGGTTTGATATGCCTCAGCATCCACTCCCCACCCCACAAACTAGGGCAGGAAACCCACAGCTGATGTTGCAGCTGCAGAGATGGGTTAGCAAAACTGGAGGTAGGTCAAGGTGCCTCACCTCACCACTACCTGAGGCTCAGCTTAACCTTTTCTCTAGCCTTGCTCCTGTGTTTGTAACTGCTGCCTGACATTTAAAAGACAGACTTTTTTCTAGCATGCATAGAGATAACTAGGGAGGAAAGCTTTGCCTACTGAAGCACTGTCTACCAGGTGCAGTAAAACAAAAATACAAAATTTAGCAACCTTTGAGGGCAATATGGGAATTCAGAAATGCTGTGTGGGTATGCACTGGGCAGCTGCACATGGATTCCTAATCTCTCTATAAGACTCAGTGCCCAGCATTCTGTCACAGCATGACTATGAACCTTGAACCTCCACATGGGCCTATGCAGACACAAGAACCCCAGTGGCATTCTCCAGTGTGCCTTTTAGTTTTCTCCTATATAAAGGAACAATTGCCAATTTCTGCTATGAGGAAAGAGTAAGGCACCCAAGGATACGATTGTTGTGAGAGCAAACACCTGTCCTGCAGCCCTGGCTCTCGGTGGCTTTGCCCTCATTTACAGAGACCTGCAGGAGGGACTGCACCCTCTCATGACTTTGCAGCAAACAAGCTCTCGGACCAGCCTCACACTTAGCACTCATACTGACATTTTGCTAAGTACTGTGGTTTTTTAGCATCTGAAACTAGCAGGTGTTGAAACTGATTGAACTCCCCTTCTGCCTTTCTTGCTAT